CTTTATTGCTTTCCATTAGCACAGAATAAATTTTTCCATCCTTTTGCTTTCAGTCTGTATCTTTGTTGGTGAGATTTATTTCTTGTAGGAAGCAAATATGGATCTTGTTTTTAATCCATTTAGCTAGTCTGTGTCTTTAAACTGGGGAGTTGAGGCCATTTACACTCAAGGTAACTATTGATAGGTAATGACTTGGTCCTGCCATTTTTCATAAATATTCCTATTGTTTACCTTAGATTTCCTTTGTACTTTTACTGGGGGATTTTGTGCCTCCACATTCTTTCATAATGATGACTATATGTTCTTCTCTGTGTTGCATATCCTTAAGCATCTTTTGTAAGGCTGGCTGAGGAGTGACAAATTCTTTCAATTTCTGTTTGCTATCAAAGGTCTTCATTTCACCTTCATTCATAAATGAGGGCTTTGATGGTTACAGTATTCTGCCTTGACAGGTTTTTTTTTTTTTTCCTCTTAAGACTTGGACTATTTCTCCCCATTCTCTCCTAGCTTGTAGACTTTCTGATGAGAAGTCAGCTGTGAGTCTAATTGGAGATACTGTGAAACTAATCTGGTGTTTCTCTCATGCATATTTAAGGATATTCTCTTTAAGGTTTTGTTGAAATTCTGATTAAAATTTGATGTGGTGAAGATCGATCTTTTCTTGTCAAGTCTATATGGAGTTCTATGTACTTTCTGTAGTTTAATACCCCTTTCCTCCTCCTAACTGGGGAAGGTTACTATACCTATTTATATAGTCCCTCCAATTCATTCTCTTTCCACTCCTTCATATGTTAGTCATTTGATAGTATCCCATAAATCTCTAGCATTATTTTTAGTTTTTTTTTCTAATTTCTTCTATTTTTCTTCTTGTCTCACTGAATAATTTCCAAAAATTTGTCTTCTAGCTAAGATATTCTTATTTCCTCCTCACTTAAACTGCTGTTCTGGATTCTCATTGGGTTTTTATTTCATCTATTGAATTATTTTCTAACATTTCATCCTAATTTATCTTTAAAATCTTGATTTCATGGGATACTTTTCATTCATGTCACATATGGATTTTTTTAATTCATGGGTTTGCTTCTCATTGTTTCAGAGCAATGCTAGGATAAATCATTTGAATTCTTTTTTGGCATTTCATCAATCTGTGCATCTTCATATTCTCATATAGAGTATTGTGTTCCATTGTTTGGGGGTTCATGTTGTCTTCCTTAATGTTGTATCTTGAATTTCTCCTTTTATTTGTAGGCATTTTTTGAGATGCTTGTTGGTTTTCCCTCTGATGGCTTTTATCTTTGAACTAGCCTCTGTGGATTAGTGGAATGTCTGCATTTTCAGTGAATATTCAGAAGTGTGTAGTGGGTATGACCAGGAAGCTCTGGTCAGTGCTGCAGGGTGGAGTGACTATCCAGGGTGACACCCAAATTGGGAATAGTAGATCTCCTTTTTTTAAGAAAAGAGGGTAGAATGGTCATCTCTTTTGGTGTGATCACACCCTCACCTCCTCTCTTTCAAGGTGATCAGTGCCTGTGTGTTAGCTCACAGTGGGTGCAATACTCATCTGCACTGACACATGAACCACAAAAAGAATCTTTGCAATCCTCACTAGGAGCACTAATACTGCTACAATGACCCATCCCAAGCAATCAGGGAGCTCTCAGCATGTGTAGCTATACACAGTGATTGCCCAGAGACCCAGCTACACCCTGCACCCTCTTGTGCTGTCATAAACTCCCGTGTCTTAGCATACAAGGCTCCCACAGTCATGGGGTGCAGAGGATCCACTCTGCTCCAGTAGCATGCCCCGTCCACACAAGGGCAGATATTCCCAGAGCCAGCCACCTGTGGGTTCTCTTCCTAGGCAGCTTGAGCCATATAGTCTGTGGTCTGTTGAAAAACCAGCAGCACCTCACCATGCTATGTGGTTGCCAAATCCCTATATATAATTTAGCATCAAAACATGTACAATTTCAGATAATTTCAGATCACTAAGCCATATAGTGTTAATTTTTCTTAATCACATTCCTAAATGTGAAGCATAATCTAGTGCCATGAGAATTTTGATGGAAATTCATGCCTTCCTCTGTTCTGGCCTGCCACTGGTCTCCAGTGGAAACTGATTCTTCACTATGGGCTGGCAAGCAATTCTGTAATCAGAACAGCCAAAATGTTTTGGGTGTTGCCTGACTCATCACATATAGAAATGTTCATCTTTAAACAGAGATGATATGTAGAAAACTCCCCTAAAGCAGGGTAAATTGAACAAGCAAGTGGTTCCAAGTGTTCTGGTTTCTACTGCTGGTAGATTTCCTCTTTTCTCACAACACATAATTATAGCCTCATGTGGATTCCCCTGTGATCAGTGACTGAAGGTGATAATCATTTGGGTATTGTTCATATATAGTTTTACTACAGCTTCTCTTTGAGGCACATTTATAATAGTGATAAAAGAAACTATATTAATGTAGAGAACTTTGAAAAGTTCACTAAATCACCATTTCTTTCTAAGAAAGTCAGATGGTAAAAGGCAAAGATCACAGGTAAGGGATATGGTAAAAGACTTGGATATGAGGCTGGAGCTGTGGCATAGCAGGTAAAGCCTGTAGTGCCAGCATGCCATCTGTGCACTGGTTCCAGACCCGGCTGCTCCACTTCTGATCCAGCTCTCTCTATGGCTTGGGAAGGCAGTAGAAGCTTGGGTCCCTGCACCTGCATGGGAGACCTGGAGGAAGCTCCTGGTTCCTGGCTTTAGATTGGCCCAGATCTGGTCATTGCGACCATTTGGGCAGTTAACCAATGAATGGAAGATCTCTCTCTCTCTCTCTCTCTCTCTCTTTCTCTCCTTCTGCCTCTGCCTCTCTGTAACTCTGCCTTTCAAATAAATTAACAAAACTTAAAAAAGACATGGATTGAAGATGATTAGGAAACTGAAAACAAGGAGAATGTTCCTTGAAGAACAACTTAGCATCTATTTTAGTTTTACTATCGGTACTTTTTTAGACATTTTACTATTACATATGGATTTATGTTCTCTTTGAAATGTATTTTAGGGGGAAGCTCAGATGTTTTAGCTTTTAATGAATTGTAATGATTATAATAAAAAACAACAAAGAGTGTAGATTTTGGTATTATCTGCATCTCTTTGTAAAAGTGAATAAGTGCAGCTGGGTAGTTAATATTGCACACAATTAGCCATCTTTTCCAAATATCTGCATGTTGTGGGGAATAAAATATGGGTGCTATGTGTTCCTTAGACTTCATTTTCCAGTCAAAATTCATGGGACATGCATATATAAATATAAATTTGCATATGTGTGTATATATATAAATTTATTTTTTAAATACAATTTACATGATCTATAATGTATTTGAGATATATTTATGTCTTACATATATCGAGATAGTTATACATGTTGCTGCTGTGGGCTTTAATTTTTTATAGAAAAGAAACAAAATGAACACCACAATTTACCAAGCTTTTGTGCCTAATGGCTATTTGCATTTTCAGGAACACTCTACAAACTCGGAAAAAAAAAGGGGGGTAAAAGAAGCTGAGATATTAGAATTATAAATAAATTTGCAGAAGAGCAAGTATAGCAAATCAAGTTCTCCATAAATCTGCACACAGGTAACTTTGAATCTTTGGCATAACATTAAGCAGTTACTGCATATGCTGAGATTTCTTAAAGCTAGGCAAAGATTTACTAGTCATTATACTATGTCTAAGAACTTTTGATTTGTATATAAGTAAGTGATTGAAAAAGATGGAGAAAGAAGTCAATGTTTGGTTATCAGATGGCATTTTTTCTTCCCACTCATTCTTTTCCATTGTATTTGAAAGTAAAATATAAACAATGGCAAGGGTATAGGTTCTCTATGTGCTTATCAAACCTTTTTTCCAGGCTTGTAGGGCAACAATGCTTGCTGATTTGATGGAAATTAACACTGAGTCCCAGCTTTGGCATCAGACCCTAGATAGATCAGGCATATATTGAATAGAAACCTGATTATGTTGGGTTACTTCCAATATGCTAGAAGAAGCACTTTGTGTAGTTCAAAGTACATCTCATGGGACTACTTATTCACTCATTTGAAAGGCAGAGCTACAGAGAGGCAGAAGCAGATAGAGAGAGGTCTTCCATCCACTGGTTCATCCTCAGATGTCCACAAAGGCCATTTCTGAGCCAATACGAAGCCAGGAGCCAGGAGCTTCTTCCAGGTCTTCCATGTTGGTGCAGAGACCCAAGGACATGGGCCATCTCCCGCTACTTTCCCAGGCTGCTGCAGTAAGCTGGATCTGAAGTGGAGCAGCTGGGACTTGAACGAGAGCCCACATGGTATACCAGCACTGCAGGCTGCAGCTTTACCCACTATACCACAATGCCAGCCCCAATACTTGCTCTTTATTTTGGGTTCATTTCTTGCCACAGTGCTACTACAGAAATAACCATTTTGTAAATGCACAGAATGATTTATTCTCCATCATGCCTGCTCAAGAAGGAATGCCTCATTCCGCGAGGGACAGTTACCGCAGCTGGCGCCCAATGTGGGACACACGGGGCACGACCAGAACGTCCGGCCGAGACCAAGCGGTTTGTCGGGTAAGTGAAACCCTAGAAATATGGGTAATGCAACTTCAGCAAGAAACGACCCAACCTTGAAAGCCCTACAGCTTATGCTCAGGTCCAGAGGCTTGGAACTCTTTTCCTGGACCACATGGGCAAGGGTTGAGAAAATAGCCATGGATAGAGAAAAACATTTGGGGATCGCCCCTCCACTGGGGTCCTTCCCTACCATCTCGGCTCTCAAAGCCTCATTGCACCCCACCCGGAGGACCTGCTTCCCCCTATAAGGGAACCAGGCGGTGAGGCCTCCTCCCTAGCCTGCAGCGATGCTGCTAAGGCACTCTCCCAACAACAGGGAGATGATAAGGGCCTTGTGTCGGGAGTCGGGAGCCTTAGGTCCTGTTCGGCCTTCCCAGGGGTTGGAGAAGGGCTCACCCCATTGTTGCTGGGAGGGTGGGCTGGATCAGGTGTTGGCCACAGAGGAAGAGCACAGGGAGGAAGAAGCCTGGGCTGACTTTAGGAAACAGCGAGCCACTCAGAGCCTGAGGAAGGCAGGGGCAGGGGAGGCAGGTGTAGATGTGCCTACAGCCACAGCTCCCCCTCCCCCTGAAAGGGCTCAGGGATGAATGGAACTTCCTGCCTCCTATGTTCCACAAGTGGCGGTTGAGGTGGGGATGGGCAACCTCCGGTAGTGGTGCGATCCTGGAGGGGATTGGCCCTGTGCATTGGATCGCCCCCCTCTTTCTCTACGGGTGGGAGGGGGCGATTCACGACCAGAACCAGCTAAAATCCAGGCCTTCTCAGTCAACTTAGAGCCTGGGGGAGCCAGGCCGCAAGCTTGGTACCCCAGGGAGGCCAAAGACCTCAAGGAGCTCCGCAAGGCGGTTGCTGAGGACGGCCCCAATTCACCATGGGTGCTTACTCTCCTTCAGGACATAGCATTTCACCCCTGTGTGCCTAAGGATTGGCTTGATTGCGCAAGGGCTACCCTCAGTGGCCCACAATTCATTAAATGGGTGCAATATTACAAGGAGAAATACAGGAATAGGCCAAAGCTAATAGGCAGGCTTGGCCAGATGTCTCTAGGGAGAGCACTCCCTAGGGCTGCTTTTTTCTCTCCATTTACAATTCAATGCCCTCCTCACTAGGCGTGGGGAAGGGAACTGGCCTTACCTAAGGAAACAAAAACCTCAATCCATTAATCCAACCTGATGAGTCTTTCTTTCCAGTTCATAAAACTTCCTCCAGCCCTACAGAAGTCTCTCATTCCCTGCCGCTTTGTTTCAGGATGTGTTCCCTGTCCTAAGCAATAGGCTCCTACACTGATGATCAGCTCTTTCCTGTGCTGCTGTAGCTAACTTATCTGAGAGTTTGCAGGTGTCTTGAAGGTTTCGTGTTTTATTGAACTTGTCTGTCTTTAATGTTTGAGTGATTACCTAACCCTAATCAGATCTACCCCACAGCCTTGGTTAAAATACTCAGGTTACATGTACTAGTTTTTGGCTGAGTGGTTTGGCTCTCTAACAGTTTAAATTCTCAAATGGAGTCTACCAACTTTGGGACTTCCAGTCGGATCCCTGGAACTCTGAAAGGATGGGACTCTAAATTTGTTAAAGTAACAACTGTTTGAGTCAATTCAAATTATACAAAGTGTATTAAAATGTTGTAAATGATGTCAGACCTATGTTGTATTCATGTTTTTGCTTTCCAGCTAAAGTGGTCTTATATTCTGTGTGTACAAGTCTTTACATGTCCTTAATATGCTTTAAACTTGTTTCCTTTACAGATCTGTTTTTGCAAAAACTATAGTGTCTTTTTAACAGTGTCTATTTAATCGGTTACTCTGCCATTTCTAGATTTAGGTCCTGTAAGCTCTTTTTGGCTCTCTGTTAAATAGTTCTGAGTTATGTGAGGATTTTGTGTGCTAACTCCTATGTTCAAGGTTTTTATTTCTGGTTTATTCAACAACAAAAAAACATAAAAATTCATGTTCTGCCAAGGTAATCTATTGTGTACTCTACTATCTCAGTTTAAATTAATAAAAAAAAATTAAGTCTTAAAAAGCTACATAAATATCATCAGATCTGGTCTAAAGATGTTAAAATCACCCTAATTAAATAAATGACTGTCATTTCAGGATGTTAAAAAATTCTATTCTAACCAGATACTTTAAGTTCTCTTGGCACCTTTAACAAACTTTCTAAAAATCAAAGTTCTAAATTCTCTAAACTTTTGGTATCTCCAAAAGGGCCCCTGGAGATGTCAAAAGATATATCTCTCATCTTACAGAGATAATAACCAATCAGAATGTTTAGATTAAAAGTGCTACCAAGATGTAAAATAATTTAACACTCTACTAAAATTCCTCACAACCCACAGAAACAGGCTATGGTGGAAAGAAACCATCAATGCCTCAAAAAGCAGTTATTAAAACAAAAAGGGGGAGTGGCTACCCCTCCATCTACAGTTACATAAGGCCTTGTTTACTATCAATATTTTAAATTTTTCAAAAGGGTCAAGGGAGTCAAGGTTCCAAAAACATTGGGGACATTTAACCCCTAAACTTCAGATGCTCATTAGATGGAGAGACCCTCTCACCCGACTCTGGAGAGGGCCTGACCCACTGATTCAGTTGGGAAGAGGATTTGGCTGTGTGTTCCCCATAGGGGAGTTGACTCCGATTTGGATACCAGCCAGAAATATCAGGCCTATGCCTGATACAAGTAACAACCCACCCAGGGAGTGGTTTGCCCCTGAGGGAGAACCCCTTGTCTTTCCTCTTCCAGAAACGGACAGAGATCCAGAGGCAGGTGATGATGCGGACGCTACTCTTCACTATGATCCTGAAGTGCCCAGCCCAGTGATGGGGGATTCGATGACCAAACGTGATCATCAAAACACTTCAGGAGGACCTGAAAAAAGACAAAGAAAACTCCAAGAATGCCCCTGTTGGACGGGCCTTAATGGACTCTTGCCCTACCTCCTCCCTCTTCTTGGACCCTTCTTGCCCTGCTTTTAATCCTTGCTATTGGCCCATGCATAATGAATAGGCTTATATAGTTTATACAACAGTGCATAGAGGCAACAAGGGTAAGACAGGTTGAGGTTCACTACCAGAGGCTGGTAGCCCACAAAGGGCTATGATCCCCTAAACTGGGGAAGCGCCCCCGGTGCTCTCCACATTGCCAATGATGGGTAAGATTCCGGATAGACCGGAACAACCTGAGACAGGCGGTGGAGGAGGCTCACCACGCTCCCATAATTACAAGTCACGCGACACCCCAAGATGGGTAAAGCACCCAGCGTCCTGTACCAACCTAAGACAGGGCTCATGGCTAAGCTGCCTGGGTTACCAATGACAGGTAAGGGCAAGGACAGCTGGGGGCAACCTAAGACAGGGACTGCATGTTAAAACAAAAAGGGGGAGATGTGGGGGACGCTGAATCTGGAGAGGCCTAGAGGTACTTCCTGAGCCTGCCTCGAATTTGAAAACCTGTCTTAGAGTTTCAAATCCCTGGTAGCAAACACCCCAGCCCCAGGGCGCTTCTGCCTAAGGATCATTAAGGTGGTATAATAGGAGTGGCTAAGACCCTTTTGCATCACAACACCCCAGCCCTTGCCCGCATCCCCTCATCTGCTCTGTACCTCAGCTATATATACACCTCCCTTTTACAATAAAGTGAGACCCTGCTTCCACTGGGCTCCCCACCTCACCTGATTTTCCCCAGGGTTTGAGGAAAGCTGAGTGGCGGGTGGCGCACTTCCCCTCCTCGGTCAAGGCAAGCTGCGGGCAGCCTGCCTAATTCTCTGGCGGTGGCGAGGAACAGTCACCGCACGCCCCCAACAGAGTATGTGATATGTTTTCATGTAATCTGTCATCTGGCTACATTTCTCTTGAAACCAAGAAATCATCAGGCAAATAAGAGGATTTCTACTAGGTTGATTGTGTTTCATTCTTATTACAGAATAAGGCTAAGGAGAAACATATCAGATGTATAGGGAAACCCTTGGATCACCTCTTATGTCACCAGACCATGTGGTAAATATATGACTGGAACTCTTTGATTCAAGAGCTGCCAATATTCTGCAGGTTTTATGGATAGTTTATTACATTTGAGTCACCCCACAAAGCGCACAATTAAGACCAACCAAAATACTTCCTAAACACAAAGGGAATATGAAATGGGTAGTGGAAGAAGAAAGTTATACCTACCACTGAAAACATGTGACTAACTGAAGAGGAACTGATGTAAAAGAAATGCATGTTTTCCTAATTTTATAATATTTTCTTATGTGCATATATATGTATATTCAATTTTTTTCTTTTCTACTATATACACCTTCAAAATAGGAATATGCTAAAAGATATTAGATAGTAGTTTCATGAATCTTCTCACTCTACATAAAGTTTGCCACTATAAAATGCATCATTGTTAATCTGACATGCTTAATTCTGTGATCTTTGTTTTGTAAGTCATTTATAAAACAAACGGCTGAAGCTCTTCATTACTATATGATCCTTGAAATGTAGAACCATACATCAGATTTGCAGACTGTAAAGAAATGCACTAAGAGAAATGATGCATTTTTTTGTTTGTTTGCTTGTTTGTTTGTTTTTTGACAGGCAGAGTTAGACAGTGAGAGAGACAGAGAGAAAGGTCTTCCTTCCATTGGTTCACTCCCATATGGCTGCTAAGGCCGGTGCTGTGCCGATTGGAAGACAGGAGCCAGGTGCTTCCCCCTGGTCTCCCATGCAGGTGTAGAGCCCAAGCACTTGGGCCATCCTCCACTACCTTCCTGGGCCACAGCAGAGATCTGGACTGAAAGAGGAGCAACCAGGACAGAACCCGGCACCCCAAACGGGACTAGAACCTGGAGTGAAGGCGCCGCAGGCGGAGGATTACCCTAGTGAGCTGCAGCGCTGGCGAAATGATGCATTTGTAACAATAAAATATTTTACTGTAATATTTAGAATAAAAATATATAGACTGAAATTCATTAAATTTGAATTAGCTATATTTTATTAACATCAAAAAAACTTCAGTGTTAGCAAAGAGGCTTATTGGAATCTGGGCATAATAAACTCGCACTGTGTTCAAAAACATATACAGTAATATATCTGATGTTATATGTTTACAGGGAAATCAGAAAAGATATATTTCCATTGAAATAAAATGCATTTAGAGGGCCTAGAATGTCCAACAAATAGAACACAGCAGACGGTGTAGAGAGTAGAGAGACAATCTAGAATCAATAACTATTCAAAAATTTTATAGGCAATTGTAGCAAAAAATGAATGGCAATGGATAACAAACCTTCCCCTTGTGGTAAAATTATTTAAGGATTTTATTTATTTATTTGAGAGCAGAGTTAGAGAGCGGGAGATAGAGAAAGTTCTTCCATCTGATGGTTCACTCCCCAAATGGCCACAATGGCCGGAATTGAGCTTATCTGAAGTCAGGAGCCAGGAGTTTCTTCCAGGTCTCCCACGTGGGTTCAGGGGCCCAAACATTTGGTCCATCTTCCACTGCTTTGCTAGGTCATTAGCAAAGTGCTGGATTGGAAGAGAAGCAGCCAGGACGCCAACTGGCACCCATATGGGATGTTGGCGTCAAAGGCAGAGACTTAATCTACTCTGCAGCAGCACTGGCCACTAAAATAATTTCTATTGAGAACAACTTCCTGCTCAGCTATCTTGAAATACTGGAGTTACTTCTGAGGCCAGGCTCTTATTTACTTGAGTAGTCCATGGAACTGAAGCACAAAGTCAAATCATTATCTTATACACACAAAAATTATAGCTCAGGTTATTTATATTTGATAAGAACTGCATTGACACAGCTTAAAAAATTATA